AAGAACACCCTCACTTCTGACATCAAGTTTGGAGGTCTCCAAGCCCACCTCAGGTTCAGTAATTCAGTAGGACTCAAAACTCTGAAAAGCCAATATACTCATGATTAAAGTTGATGACAATGAAAAKATATGGATTAAAATCAACCAAGGGAAGAGGTGCATAAGCAGGGTCCAGGTGAGCTTCCAGTTGTCCTTTCCCAGTAGAGCTGTGCAGATAGTGCCTATTTGTTCAGGCAACAACAAATGACAATATATATGTAATATTGAGAACCCCCCACCAGGGAGACTTGTCCAAGCCTTGGTGTCCAGAGTTTTACTGGGAATTAGTCATGTAGGCATGGTAGACCACTGTGTGGCTGACCCTAGTCTTGTTGGCATAGATTATGCAGAATGACCCAAAGCCTCTGGGTAAGCAAAGACACTCATCCAGGCAGGACATTACAGGGTTTTAGTGGTTAYCTCCCTGGAGCTGAAGGCAAAAGCCCCACTTCTTTTTGGGCAGGTTAATCCTTCACTGCACCTATGTCAAACCCTTTGAGGATATAGATCGGATTGTGTCATGACCCAGGCTTACCAAGCACCAGGAGCTCCCCATCACACTAAAATAGGACCCCTATTCCCTGCCCTACCTACAAATCCTACTAGCCTTTCCCGCTCCATCTTGATTGCTATAGTCCAACACACAGATCTTCTTTTGTTTTTCAGGACACCAAGCTCTTTCTTGGCCTTTGTACTAGCTGTTCCGCTGCCTGAAATGTTCTTCTCCCAGTTCCCCACATAATTTGATCTTAGTTGTCATTCAGGTCTCAGCTTAATAAATGTCATTTCCTCAGAGGCCCCTTGCCTGTCTGCCCAAATTAAATGAGTCTCCAAGTCAGTCCCTATCCTATCACCTTGTTATGTGTTCGTCATAGCGGTGAGCATTGCTTATTATTTCCTAGCTCATTTGTCTCTTAATTTTTCAGTTAGCAATTTCCCTCCATGCACATAGTAAGAGTAATAAGAGTTCTCTGTCTGCAGCACCTAGAACATGCTGGGCCTAGAGTACGTGCTCAGTAATTCATTGAATGAATGAATGAATGAATGAACAGCTGGATGAATAAATAAATTTTCTGAAAACTGGTTTAGGCAAAATTAAGTAGAATTTTTATGGCAATATCTTCAGAGCCTTTAATATACTAGTGTAGATTATGAATCTCTGAGTATTTCCAAGATTAGTTTTGGGAAGCATTAATGTGGAAACTTGGCATTTTCAAGGAGTCAAATTCATTTTCACATGTAAATCCCATTTTAAAGAAAAGTAATCCAAGTTATGGTACATATTCTTGAAATTTTACTATGCCTGACCCATCCCTTAGGACTCTACTCTCTGCTAACTAAGCTGATRAATTAATTTGTACTTAGGTATAAATGTGTAATACTGCCTTAGGATCGTTCACTCCTTCTTTTATGTATTCATTATATTGAATCCCCATTGATACGAGGAACAGGGTATAAAAATAATGGCAGTGGTGGGCTGGTGAAAGATGGTTTCCAGAATGGGAGCCATTGGTATTCCTTAGGTTATGTATGGGAAGTGTACATTTATGCCTCCTGTACCTAAGTTCTAATTGTTGATATTTTTCATAATCCTTGGTAAAAATATGTTTGAAGTGGCTTTAAAAAATTCTGTTGATGAACTTATGCTATAGAAAATTGTGTGACAAACAATCTCCAACTTAATGATGGTTCAACTTATGATTTTTCAACTTTATGATGATGTGAAAGTGATATACATTCCATAAAAACTGTAATCCAAATTTTGAAATTGAATCTTTGCATTAGGCAATATGATACTCTTTGGTGCTGGGGTGCAGTAAGCCACAGTTCCCAGTCAGTCAGGTGACTGAGGGGAAATGATTGATGCTCACCTAGGGTGCTCAGTAGGTGAGTTATATTAAATACATGTTGACTTACAATGTTTTTGACTTACAGGAGTTTAGCTGGACATAGCCCCATCGTAAGTGGAGGAGCATCTGTATCTCTATTTGAAACTTGTGCATTGATAAAGATCACACATTTCATTTCAGATACCACAGGTTCTGGATTCTTCTTTCCATTAAAATAAGGTCTGTGGTTTTTGCTGTCTCAGACAACTCAGCAGGACAATACTCATTCCAGATGCCTCTTCTTCCAACCCTACCCTCCTTTAGTGAGGGGAATTGATGCCAGACTTCACATATAAAAAATCGAAGAGAATGTGAATTATCTTTTCTTCTGTCAAACTTTAGGTTTCTGTTAGAGCCAGGCTATGTCAGTTTTGTCCCTACTCCTAGGGCGCAGCCCTCCTGACTTTTCCACTTTTGTGGAACTTGGACTCTAACTTCTTATTCCCCAGCTGGTATATGGCTCCCCCACCTAGTAAAYGATCCCTGCCCTACTTCCTATGGAGACTCCTCTTTGGAATTTGTGAGTCTGTGAATTCCCTTCAAACCCTGTGTCGTATGCTCTGCACTAAACCCAACTCCTGTGTGTGGAAACTTGGAGTTCTGATTAGAAATTCCAAGCCTTCTTGGTTAAATACCACAAACTGATAAATCAGTCTTGGGATCAAGGCTTGGGCACTTCTGCACCTGGCCAGCCAGTATCCACATGTCTGTAATGTCCAAATGGACATTCTGTCCACTATTTTACTCTCTCTAACTGGCTACCTCTGAGTATACCAGTTAATTCTTGAGCAAATTTTAAGTCCATCATGAAAAACGTATAAATTACTGCTACAGATTCTATTTATTGCCAAGATTTTACAGACAGATGCCTCGATAAATGTGTTTTTATTTGCTGTGAATGACTTCTGCATAGTGCCATTGAAAAAAAATATAATTCAGATTCTTCCATTAAAAGAAGGCAGYTGTAGTGTGCAGAGAGTCGTCAATTATCTTGTGACTCCAGTCAGGATTATTCTGGGGCTGATTTGGAGGGAGTTTAGCTATTCTAGCAGAAAAACTATTGGTTAAACGTGAACAGTTAGAAAACCCCTTTCCATGGCCTGTAGCACAAAAAATGAGAGGTAAAATTRAAACCAGAAGACAGTTCTCCAGCTGAGACTCTATGTTGAAAGCCACSGGCTGTGGGACAACCTGATGATAGGGTTCCTCAGGGGAAGGCTGAGTGGCGGGGCCGGGCTGAATACCTGTTAACCAGGCTCCCGAGGGCTGTGTGCTCACAGGGTTCTTGGGCATAGGTTTGGATGACCCTSCTCCCCTTTATTCTGTGCCAGGTGTGTGCACAGGTCTGGAAGCAGAGAAGGAACATCAGAGGAAGTGGGACACAGGTYCTGCTCTCAAGCTAATCGCAGTGACAAAGGCTGAGATACAGGCACAACTTAGGTGCACTTGACTTCAGATGGCCCACACAGGGCAGTGAATGGCCTCGTGTTCTTCATGCCCTGTTGTCAGGCCCTCTCCTACAGGGAGGTCCCTTCTGCTTGCCTCTTTCCTATCACTGACATCTTATTTTCTGGAGTCTGTTTTGTTCAATTCCCAGCCCCTCCCAGTATGCCCAGCCCCCACCCCATATTGCTACTGGGATATGCTCTTTTCAAAGCCACCAAAGTTCACAGCCACCAGAGCCATCCACCAGCCAGCCATTGATCCTTTCCTTCCTTTCACCTTCGTCAGGGCTCCCARTATCCAGTGTTTCAGAACTAACTGTTTAAAGCTTAGAGCAACTTGAAGATCAAGGCTCCTATTAATACTATTCCATACATATTGTGGATTCAGTAGGCTTTGGAGAGTGGCTGAGAAACCAGTAATCTTTTTGTAGCATGGAAGAATTTTTGGAGGAAGTGTCTGTGATTGACAAAGTGTTATCCTTGGTTGCCTGTTTTCAAAAAATTAAGCACCAACTAATTTGGAACAGAACCCATCTAGAGATCACAATTCCAAGCACATATGCATCTAAAATCAGAAGCATTGTCAAGATGGGGTGTAGCCCAAGGGTAGAGCACATGCCTTGCTGGCTTGAGGCCCTGGGTTCCATCCCCAGCACCAAAAAAGAGAAAGAAAATAAAAGAGAAATATGCATKAAATCAGAACCATTAAGCAGAAATGTGCCCAGAAGAGATGGAGAGACCCATATTATGATCAGTGTGACTTAAACCAGGTGGGATTAGTTGGGCAGTATTTAGGGTCAGTAAGGGTAGGGAGAACAGGATCCCAACTTGGCAGCAAGGAACACAATGGCCTACATGGTCAATTAGAAGTAGACACAGTTARAAGTGGATAGTTGTCATCCATTGATTTTATTTTATCTTTTTATCAGTTTGGTGTGTGGACCTCTTGTTCTTCCTCAGCATCCTTCTGACCCCCAGATTTGCTTGTGTCGTCTCTTCCTGGACACAGGCACTTTGCCATTTTTAGGAGGTAGTGCAGCTGCTTGCTCTGAGCCTTTGTGAGATTGGCAAGAGTATGTGCTGCTCTATTTTTTATCTTTTTTAGCAACAGATAAGGCGGACAGGAAGTTTTATTGGCAAACGTGGCCRCAGCTTGATGTGTGCTGTTCCACACACCGTGTTTTCTCATCGGGCTGGGCCCCAGGGAAAAGGTGGCCTGATGGGTGACTCCAGTCTGACAGTGGCATCATGTCATCTGTTGTTCATAAACCAACAAATATATAACCAGATGGATTGTTCAGGTTAATCCCCAAATCTTGTCTTTTTTTTATTTATCTCCAAAATTGTTCATAAGATCAATATTGTTCATAAGATCAKGGTAAAGTGTCCAGCAGGAAATGATTCCCTTTATGCCTGGGTCTCTCTTCATGAACTCTCTCTTCCTGTTACTCCAGGGAAGCAGGTTATGATGCTTGTCATCAGGCACCTGAGCCTAGTGACAAGTAAGGTATCATGTGCCAGAAATTGTATAGGTCAAGAACAGACCTGAAAATAAGAGCTTTCTTGTAAAACTGTTAGCCATTTTAAGTTCCAGACATAATGTATACCTTTTTCACCAAAATTGCAGATTGCCGTATCCCTCAAATTGAAGATGCTGAGATCCATAACAAGACGTATAGACATGGAGATAAGTTAATCATCACCTGTCATGAAGGATTCAAGATCCGCTATCCCGACCTCTACAACATGGTTTCATTATGTCGTGATGATGGAACGTGGGATAACCTGCCCATCTGTCAAGGTACGGGAAGGAAGCCACTATCGCCGGCTGTTCTTCTCTCAGRCTCTATTGTACATGTTCTTTGCTAGAGTGATGGAGATGATGGAGCGGAATGCGAAGCCRTCCACCCCACACGTGTCCTTTGTGTCTTCACTGCTCTCGGGATATCCATCTTCAGTGCTTGTAGAGGTGCAGCTCCATATACCCACCTTCATGGTATAGGTGGGAAGCCCCTTATTCTTTAGCATGTCATGTGGTCCCCTAATCTAGAAAATCATATAGTTGAAGAACTTGTAACTGGGCTGTGAACACAATGATGAACTATTATATATTGAATGGAAACAGCAAGGCATTTACACTTATTTCAGTGGTGGTGAGAATACAGTTAAAKCCCATCTTACAGAAGGCTATTTTCTCTTAATAATGTTATCCCTTTTTATAATGCGCGAAGAGCACAAATATCATCAAATTCAAATTTCATCCAAACCACACGGTGAATATTCATCTTCTCATATTTTTTTTTTTCAAATTTGCCTGGGCTGACATAAAAGGACCCTGTTTKTGAAAATAAGCCTTTGCATTTCACATTAATTCTGATTTTATTTTTTAACATGTGACTTGGACCAAAGGACCAAAAAGCCAATGCATAATTCATAATTTGATGGAGAAAGAAAGCGATCTCATTTGCTCCAAAAGCTCTAGCAGGTTCAAGTTGAGACGAATGTTAACTTTGTGCTTGGAAATCACAACTGGCAGACTCCAACATTGCTTTGTGCAACTCATCGTGGGAAATAAATTGTTTCCTTACACTGGAGCTTAAGAGTCATGACCCCGTGAGGAAGGGAGCTTCTGGAAGTAGGAGGACAGAGTCAGCCATGCTCCCTGCCCTTCCCTCAGAAACTGCCCCATGTGCTGGCCTGTTCTGCATCCCATTTCTAAAGGGGACACGTGACTTATTTACATGCTCAGAGGCTGTCTACAAAATAAGCAGCTGGCTCCTTCCTGGGCTACTTACTCAACRCACTCCATTATCTGCTGATGGGTGGTTGGTCTGCAGCACTGTCAGAGCCGTGCTGAAGATCACCTCAGACTCCAGCCACTATGAGTTTTTTCTCTCCTACTCTTTCTGTTCCATTTTGGGTCACTAAGTACTATATCTTCTTTAGGAATTCCTTTTTCCCTTAATGACTTTCTAAACATAACCCATGGTTTACCTCTTGGGGTGTCATTTTGAGTTCAGATACTTGCTTCCCCTTGTCTCTGTCTGGCCACCATGGCTCCCCATCCTGTCACCCCTTAGTCAATCTCCAGTCAAGACAGGACTATTCTAAGTCTGCAACAATAGAGAGCCGACTGACTGGCTACTCTGTGTGTGTGTGTGTGTGTGTGTATTTTGTGGTGTTATGTAACAAACCAGAGCCTCGTGCATGCCAGGAAAGTGCTCCCTCTCTCTGAGTTACATTCCCAGCCCTTGACTGGCTTCCTGAGAGAGTTTTGTCTCTTGGGACAACATATACATTGCAACCTTGTTTTAATTTTTCCTCAGAGGCTTCATCCCACCAAGGTTGTGTCCTGGTGGCCCCTGCTGTGGCCCCATGCCACCCTGCAACTCCCTGCCTGTGGAGAGGTTCTGCCAGCTGAGTCTGCACCAGCCTCCTCCCAGCCATTCATCTCACACAGGATAGGGAATGAGGAATCAGTCACCACAGACAGCCTGACACCTCTCCAAGCCCCCTGGGGGGATATAATTGGTCCTTAGAATGACATTTCATACAATAACTTTTATTTTCACCTATGGATCCAGGGGCTAAAGCCTGAAGAGGYTTCTCTCTATTATCTAGAAGTGCAAATGGAAATCACATTGAACTATTGAGTTGAAGCCAGTTTTTTACTGTTATATTTAGGACAGTCTGCCTCCAACCAAGAGTGAGCATGTCTTCCCCTCTCAACTCTGATTAAATGCATGAATTTTAACCCCTGCCATCTCCTCCGGGGGTGAGGTGAGAGGCTGCTCAAACCCCATTTTTTTGTGGGAATTTTATATTTTGGAGAATAGTGCCTGGATGCCTCCTGCTCTCTATGGGCCATAGCTAGTTTTTATTTGGGAGAAACCCATTTATTCATGTGAGTAGGTTAGAACAGCAACCCCTTCCTAGGAGGAGAGCGAGCATAGTCATTCTTGGCAACTCAGTTGAACTATGCATAAAGGTTCTAACACATTTAGTTGTTCATATTAATGTGCTTACCTTAATTATTTATTTGTCTGTTTGCTCTTGGTACTGAGGATTAAACCSAAGGATGCTGTGCCACTGAGCCACATCCCCTGCCCTTTTTATTTTGAGACAGGATCTTGCTAAGTTGCYCAGGCTGTTCTAGAATTCACAATCCTCCTGTCAGCCTCCCGAGTCACTGGGAACACAATGTCCGACTGTGCTTATCTTTTTTTCTCCTCAGATTGATTATGTTTATTACACACACACACACACACACACACACACACACACACACTTTGCTATGAACATTTTTAGTTTTCAGCTGCAGGGTGGAGGTGGAGGTCAAAAGCAATCTAAAGCCATGAGCCATGAGACTCTCTAAAGAATGGCTGAACTCCACCACCTTTTGAGTCTGGTCCATCCTAAATATTAGCTGGTTCACAATGGAGTCTGTGGGTAATGCAGAACTTGGGGTCCCTAGGACACAGGAACTGTACCATCCTGGGAGTGAACGCTTCCCTAAAATCCTGCATTCCTGTATCTCACTTATCTTAACCACACTCACTGTGATGCACGGGCACCATACACTAAGGTGTCCACCAAAGCCATTTGCTGAGACATTCCTTCCAGACACTTAACACTATCCAACACAGTCAGTTTGTAGAAAGGTTCTGCCATCTGCCATTGTGCATGTGATGCATACGATCTGTACTTGGTGACTGGAAGGGGGAGTAGGTATTTTCATTATACATCCTCAACTTCACACACAATTAGTTCTCCCCTGGAAGAACACCAGCTTTGCAGTGTCATTATTCCCTCCAGTGAAACTACTGAAGTTAAGAAGAAATTCCATGATCACAGCGGATGCCACACACAACAGAATTCTGTGCCATTGGCAATATTATACTGGGCCACCACAGGCTTCTAGACCAAAAAGCAGCTAATTCTTTACAGAAGTAGGAATGTGGGATCCAGGTCCCAGTTCTGCTGTGATAGCACACAGAATTCTGCGCTTTATGCACTGACTCATTACTGACAGTGTTTCTCTTTGTGTGTTCCCCAGAGCAGCAGCCACAGTGGTACTTGGACCATTAGCAGTGCAAATCCTCAGGCTTCAACCTAGACCTGCAGAAACAGAAGCCTAGGAGGCTGGCCCAACAGTCTGTGTTGCACCAGGCCTTTGGGTCTTTCTCAAGTTTAAAAAACCTATCCTGCAGCATTCTTCACCTGTTTCATGTAAAACACAACTGAATTTTCAAAATTTTAGTGGTACCCGCTAAGGGAAGTTTCCCTTCCGTAATCTGTACCCATGGAATCAATTTTTGAGCTTAACTTTCCCAAGTCCCCACCACATCACTAAAACTTTTGGAGCCTCTCTCCAAGGGCTCTTCAGTGGATCTCAGCCCTGACAGCACCTTTGGATGACTTGGGGAGCTTTTAATAAAATACAGTGATCCTCCAGACCCAGGGCATGGGGCCYGGGCATTAGTCTTTGAAAATCCCCTCAAATGATGTCGGCATGCACTGAGGGCCAGAACCACTGGACTAGGGGTGTGCCAATCCATATCACACGCTCAACTACCATCCCTTACCCTCATTTGTAACTACTTATCTGACTCTTTAATTTCACTTGCAAATATACAAGCAAATATCTGAATTAGAAGTAGAAGAGGTTAATAGAACAAGGAGTCTGTATGTTAAAAACCAAAGTACTTTCTTCTTCAGAGGTCATTATGGGGTAGATAAGTGATGTCCCCCAAAAGCTCACGTGTGAGACAATGCAAGAAAGTTTAGAGGTGAACTAATTGGGTTATGAAAGTCTTAACCTACYCSGTGCATTAATCCCCTAGTAGGGATTATGTGRGTGGTAACTATAGGCAGATAGGGTGTGGAGGAGGTGGGTCCTTGGGGGCGTGCCCTTGTGGGTTGATATTTTGTCTATGGTGAGARGATGGCGCATGCTYGCTCTCTCTGCTTCCTGGTGCCATGTTTTGAGCCACTTTCTTTCACCACACTTTTCTGCCATGATGTTCTGAATGAATGAAATTGACTGTCTATGGACTAAGACCTCTGAAACTGTGAGCCTCAGAATAAACTYTTCCTCCTCTATTTGTTCTTGTTAGGTCTTTTGGTCACAGTGGCAAAAAAAAAAAAAAAAGCTGACTAAAACAAAGGCAATGCTGTTTTGTTCTTTCTTCTGTGCAGTGGGCCAACCCTGAAGAGTCCCAGTGTGCTGTTTGACTCTTGGATGTACAAAGATGACCAAGTGAAAYTTTCCTTCTCTTCTTTCACATTTCACAGGCTGTCTGAGACCTCTAGCCTCTTCTAATGGCTACGTGAACATCTCTGAGTTCCAGACCTCCTTCCCAGTGGGGACTGTCATCGCCTATCGCTGCTTCCCTGGATTTAAACTCGAGGGGTCTGAGTATCTCGARTGCTTGCACAACCTTATCTGGTCATCCAGCCCACCCCGGTGCCTTGCTCTGGAAGGTAACACATCTTAGCCTTTTGGAGTTGCATTTTGAATTATGAAAGTGGACATTTCGATGGGAAATAAAGAACTGCAAATGATGGCCAGCAATAACCTTTATTCCCTGAGTCCACTTTTCTTGCTTTTGTCCAGAGAAGAGACCACCTGCCATGAAACCATACTTCCCATTAGATGTAAAATTTGCTTCCCCCATCCTCAGGCTCACAGGGGAGGAGAGTGGGTGAAAGAAAAAGTTGCAAGCATCAAAGGTTAAACTCAGAATATTGCAAAGTTAAACGAAATGTCTTCAAAAATTAATTTTCTCTGCACCAAATGAAAACATATTGCATTATGGCATCATTAATCTCATCCCTCGTTTTATTGTTGTGTCAATGTTTCCTCCATATTTCCATGCATTTTATAGCTTAGCTATAAATGTTTTGCTGCAAGCACATCCTTGGAAGCCTGAAAGCAAGAGCTCTTTCTTCCTTGTTTATTAAATCTATATGATTACAGAGTGTGCATCACTAAAGACCACTAATCAGCGGTATAAGATAGTGAGGGGGRAGGGCATCCACTGCCAGGATCAAGGCAGTGTCATGGGGTCCATAAAAGTCTTGTGCTAGACAAGATGGACATACTGATTCAGCCCTTGCTTTAACACCCACCTTGAAATTATGCCCGATGTGATTCTTGGCATGTGAATAAGTGGGTGGGAAGGGAYCTCCATTGGGAAAGAAAAAAATAGAAAAAAGAAAAGGAAACCTCCCATCAAGAGCCCCTCTAAACCTATTTGGAACCTTGGTTGGAAAAGAAACAAATAAAGAAGCAACAAAATGTGGAAGCAAACCAGTTCTTACAGGTTTACAGCAGCTTTATAGTGTGCAGCTCTGTGGGAGGAGGTAAGAGTGGGCAGTATGTCTGGAGGGCGATGCTCAGAGGAATCAGAGAAAGCATTTATTCCTAGAGGAAAGGATGGACTTGAGGCCCTGGAGCCTCCTTGGAGGGAGAGGGAGTGGTGGGCGGCAGGGAGAGTGGAGGGAACCCTGGGTGGCAGGGAGAGTGCCAAGCCTGGGCCATTTTTTTTGCCTTATCCCTAGGCTGGTCATTAGAGCTCCTGCTTCCCTCACCTCTCACCTGTCCCAAATCCTCTAATGGATTGGCAGGAACCCAGGGTAGAGGTGTTAGATAAAATAGAGGACACCCAGTTAAATTTGAATTTCAGAGAAACAATAAATAATTTTTAATAGGAGCATGTCCTGAAATGTTGCATGGAACTTAAGGTTAAAAAAAAAATCCTGCTTTGGCTTATCTGCAATTCAAATATAACTGAATGTCTTGTACTGCTGTTTGCTGAATCTGGCCATCCTTGCCTGAAGACACAAGGTCATCCCCTTGGTTACCAGTGGACTAGCCTTTCTCTTGTCTGGCTACTGATGGTGGGTCAGGGTAGGCACATGAAGAAGGGGGCCTGTCTTCTAGTTCCTGGAGGCTTTTTTCTACCCAGATGACCAGGGAGAGAGAGGGGTAGTTTAAAGATATCATTATTATGATTTTATCTATTTGAAATGCCCATTTTAAATTTTTTTCAAATTTGGCTTAAATGTGTTTCAAGCAGTCAGGTTTTGATAAGCTTCATTTGGGGACTTAGAAAGCAGTTTTTATGGAGCCTAGAGAATATGATATGGAGAGACATAAAACAAAATCTTAACTTCAAGAGKCAACGATCTAGGGTTGTAAACAGAAGCTGTGAGCAGCTTCTGGTTGAAAATGAGTCTGCTTGCTTAACACATGCCCTTTTCCACTGCAGCCTCAGCTCTGGGCTGCAGAAAGATGCTGAAGATCCAACCTGATATTACCTGTGCCGGGAAGGCCACTTGAATGCCTTTTTCCCTCAGTTGGTTTTTCTTTTAACATCTTGATTTTTCAATACATGTCTCTTTAAATTATCTGATGAATTTAATTTGTGAGTCCTTTTAGATGCACCACTGCTAAAGGTACAAAAGCCACGACTCTAAATTGAGAGATAACAGAGTTGGCCAAAGGAAAACTAGATAGAAACTGGATGAAGGCAAACAATGAGCCTGGTGTGATGGCACATGCATATAGTCCCAGCAACTTGGGAAGCTGAGGGAAGAGGATCACTTAAGGTCAGAGTTCAAGTTTAGTCTGGGAAACAGAGACCCTGCAGAGATCCAGTCCCCGGCCCCCTCAAAACAACAATAACAACAACAACAAAAAGCATAAGCAATGGATTAAAAAAATAAGAGGCAAAGATTCATGAGAACACTATCCAGTTGTGCCTAGGTATTGACACTTCTTTAATTCTTTCTTCAAATTGTATATCATCTTTTTCAACCTCAGTGCCTTATTTATATAATATTATTGCAGGGTTTCAAAAGAGATGAACTGTTTCTAGGGAATCTACCCCTTTAATATATCACCCACACTCTCCCCCACCTTCCTGTTTTCCTAAACCCACAATTTGCATGATTTGATTTTTCTTGATGGCATAGTAAAAATGATTGCACTGTGCTGTAGAATCATGATGTTATTGGGGGCTTTAAAATATGTTAGGGTGCTCCTATAGTGAGTGAGTGGGTGCTGTGCAGGTCTTTATGAGGTTTTTATCCTTTCCCCTTCCTCTCCTACTACTAAWGCATCAGCTACCAGTGTACCTGTCACTCTCAGGGAGCATGTGGTAGCATCTTTTCCCCATGCCCAACTCGTTGCCTTGCCTGCTGTGAGCCAGGGTATGGGATCCCTAAGCTGATTGTTGGCCATCAGGCTGGCTGGCTTCACATCCTGGGTCTCTTGCTTAGTCACTTTGCCCTAGAACAAGTGGTTTTGCCTCTATTGGCCTCCATTTCCATTTCCTCATCTGTAAARTGGGGTGGTGATCTACTTAYCCCATGAGATTGTGAGGATTCAGTATAACAAATCTGACATATTTAGTGAAGTTTCTGACACATAGCAAATGGCTAATCAATTGATGTTTTTAGAGTTGAGTAAAAGTCACCGTATAAACAAGTGAGGATCTAGGCATAATTCTGAATGAATAAGGTGCCCAGGCTTTGGGGCATGTACATTGTGACACTAATTTTGGTTGTTCAGGTGCAATGTTAGTTACTTGAATGTTCTTAGCTGTGTTTGTAATAAGATGGAACAGATAAGGGAAGGAAATACTGAACAATAAAGGTAATTGCCTTTATTTTTGAGAGATAATTTTTAGTCAGCTTTTTTTTTTTTTTTTTTTTTGACCAAAGGACCTAAAAAGAACAACATAGAGCAGGGGAGGTTTATTTGAGGCTCATGGTTTCCAAGGTCTCTGTCCAGATGGCCAACTCCATTGCTCAGAGCCTGAGGCAAGGCAGAACATCATGACAGAGGAAAGCTGCTCAGGACAGGGCAATCAGGAAGCAGAGAGAGCTTCACTCATCAGGGACAAAATATAAACCCCAAAGGCTTGACCCCAGTGACCCACCTCCTCCAGCCATATCCTACCTGCCTACAGTTATAGCCCAGTTAATCAGTGGATTAAGCCATTGATTAGGTTCTACCTCTCAACCCAATCATTTTGCCTCTGAGTGTTCTTTCATTGTCTCACACATGAGCTTTTGGGGGACACCTCATATCTAAACCGTAATAGGTGACTATATATGTGCCAGACTCTTGACCAAAGTATCTGTTCACTGCTACTAACCACACCTTGCTGATGACCAAACCAAGGTTTCTAATGGCTCAGTAACTTGCCCAAAGTCAGCTAATAGTGAGGGAGCTAGAACTTGAGCATGAGTCTTTGTCACTTCAAAACTCTTCATATAAATCTGAGTCTGATTAACTTATTCTGACTTTACAATCCAACAGGGAAGGTGATTTGGTTTTTCAAAAACTAAAAAACAAAATTAAAGCTTTATTGCATAGGAAGGAATTTATCATTCTAGGCTGTGGTCCTCCTCAAGAAATGTGGTGCTTCACTTCAGCTGGTGAGCTGGGCAGAGATGGTCAGTCTCCTTTTACAGATGGGGACACAGACACCTTAGAGGATGGCATAACTTGTTCTGACCCCCTAGCTCTCAGGTGTGGCTTTTTCTGCCACATGGCACCCCCCTCTCCCTAATGGAATGGAGAGCCAACACTTGACCTGTCACACTCACAWGTAAACAGTCCTATTTTTGAAGGTTAGCTTTGGGAGGAGTTGATCATGATCATTTGGAAGAAAAGAACTTGGTAGTATCATCAAAGGTAGGAAGAGTTCCAAGGACCAGTTTAGAGGTCATGTATTTTTGAGCCAGTACTCTTATGCTCATCTTATGAGTGGGAATCCCTTCTGGAGCACATGTGTACCTCCATAGTGTGTAGTGGATAAAGCACCCGGAATCACCAAACCTTGAACAAGAATGTTGGCTGCAATATTTTGGACCTGAAAGGAACTTTGTGCGTCCTTTTATCTTGGCCCATCTTTCTGTGGGTATACATGCTTTTCCTCATCTGGGTGTATCTTAATCCTTTCCCTTCTCAGGCCCTCTTCATCTCTGAGGATATCACCTCTCCCTGTCTCATTTCCATGCATTGAATCCAATAATTTTTAAAAGAACCTAGATAATGAGTATGGGCAATTTCTTCTAAGTGCTCAGAACTCAGTTCACCTTGCCATCAGGGTTTATTGAACACCTGTTAGGCCCAGAGCAAAACTAAAATGGGCACTGGGGAATTGCAAAGAAAGAAAAGGGCATAATTCTTTACTCTGCAGAGTTTACAGTCTACAGGGGAAAATGAGAAGACAAATTCCATTATCTAGAGAACAGATCATTACAGGTGGCATGTACATGTACACACACACAGATACTTTTACCAAGGAGCATGTGAGAGCATCTGCACTTTGGAGAGGGTAGAAGGTCAGTTCTAGTAGGTGATATTACAAGTGCAAAGTGAAAATTTCTGTCCAGGGATTTGTGGCATTTTTCGTTTATTTTCCCTGGAGACCAAATAGTAGCATACTTTCTGGCTCCACTTGATT